AAAACAGGGCGTGGAGCGGTGACCCCCCTTCTCTCCCGGCAGCCAGTGTGAGAGGAACCCCTGCCCCATGGAGAGCCGAGCCTGCCGCCTGGCTGCCACCTCCATCTCCTTCCACTACCTGCCGCTCCAGGCCAACCGCACTGTGCCCCACGTACTCTTCAAGATGTCCACCACCCGCTTTGTGGGCGACAGCCTGCGCTTCGCCATTGTGGGCGGCCGGGGCCAGGGGGTCTTTGCCGTGCGGCGCTCCGACCGGCAGACGGGAGAGCTGGTGCTCACGGGCCAGCCACGCTGGAGGTGGAGCTGGAGATGAGCGAGTTCTCCCGCAAGGTCCTCCTGGGCAAGCACATCTTCAAGGTCACAGCCTATGTGTCCCCATACGAGTTTTGATCCCCTTTGGAGGTGGGTGTGGGGCCAAGCCAGGGTCTTTCCTGGGGAGTGATGGAGTGAGTGCAGCTCAGTGGTCTCAGTTCTTGTCCCACTGGAGACATCCCTCTCCCGCAATGCTTGCTCATGGCTGGTAGAGTGAAGCTACCACCACAGAAAGAGTGCTTGTTGCAAAGGCTGCAAGGAAAACCCTGCGGGCAATGGCAGGACCAGCATAAGGGTGCCTGCCTCTGCCAGCCCCCCTCCTCTCTGCCCACATGGGACGTGGAGGGGTACAGCAGAGACCCAACAGCATGTGGCACGCAGGCCTGGCTCCTTGTATCTTATAACCTCTAATAAAAGAAAAGTGGCTGTAGGAAGGGCGTCCTTGCTGTATGCCTGCTGTGTGGGAGCAGCCCCGTGCTCCTGGTGCAAGGCTCCTGCGTGAGCTGTGGTCATGACAGGGTGCCCTTGCAGATCTTGGGGTGCCAGCAGAGCTGTCAAGCCCACCCAGGATCACGCAGTGTCCGTGCCCATCCCAGCACTAATGTTCCCAGGGGCCACACTGAAGAGCCCCTCAGTGCAGGACTGGAAGATGGGCTCAGGATGCGGCCCTACACATCCTGCGCAGCCAAGGCTTATCCCCTGCCCCTTTGGCAGGTGCCATGAAAGTGTAGAGGGGCTCCCTGGCACAAGGTGAGCAGGGGACAGTGACCAAGGCCATGCTTCTTTGCGGCCAGGAGGTTTCCCTTTGCAACAGCCCTGGCAGGAGCCAACGGCACAGATGGAAGAGGCTGCAGCTCTGCAGCTTGCTGAGCGCTCAAGCTGTTCCCCTGCTCCCACATTGAGGAGGGTGGGCAGCAAGGACAAAAGAGGTGCAGACTCCCACCCTGTTTGGGCACACCCAGCAAAGCCAGACCCCTGTGCAGGGGGACCTGCCAGCAGCTAGAGGTTGAAAAGGTGACAAGGGCCTTTGAGGACAGCAAGCGAAGGACACGCTGCCCCTGGGACACCCTTCCCTCCGTACACAGAAGCCTTTTTAGGTGAGTGTACAGCTGGGCCGTGCCAGTGCCCCTTGCACAAAGCAGCCACTGTGCGCAGCCCGCAAACGGCTCATAAAGACCTCCTTATGCACCCACCAGGGCTCGGCACGGCTGCAGAGCTGCGGGCTGAGCTGGAGGAGGGGCGGCCATGCTGCGTCACATAAATCCGTGGCTGGCCCCTGCCCACGGAGGGGAGAGGCTGGGATGCAAAGTAGAGAATTACAAGGGTAAATATTTATCCCTGTGCATGAGCTGTCCCAGCCAAACTGGGCACCCAAAATGTGTTTTTGCATGAAGTTCTTACAGTCTTCAGACCTTCAGGTACAACACGACTTGACTGATCACTAACACCCACATTGCTGATTAGTAATCATAGTAAAACTTTGCAAAGCAATTCTTATTTTTGCAGCTTTCTTGCTGCTTGTCTATCAATCCAGGTGTCCCTGGAGTAACTCTTGCTGCAGTTACTGCTGCCAGATGATACCAGGAGGGTTTCAAAGCCGTGTCAGAAGGACTCGGATGCTGGCATTATCTTGGTTGACCCAGGATATCCTTTATCCTCATGAACATCTTTAAGCTTCCCCAAAGCAAAGTCCTTAAATCCAGGGCCAGGCCGTCCTTTACTTCGTTTTACTTCAGCACAAGCAATACTAAAGTCTCCAGTAAAATTCCACTACCTTGCTACATCGCAGTGCATAATCTGAACTAATATATACCTATTAACAAAGTTAATACATTTTCATAGGATAAAGACTGGTTAATACAGTAATTAGGGAAGGGAATTTCGTTAATGAGTGGGTCAGCCAGCTCTAGCTCACAGCCTCCCAGCCTGAGCCTGCTCAGCCAAGCTTTTCCCGGCTGTGGGGGCCACGCTGGGCCCGGAGCCTGCGGGTTCAACGAGACCCACACACCCGGGTCCACGTTGAGGGCGGCCTCTACTACCCCTCTCCTCCTTCGGCCACAGTCGTTCGCATCCGGGACTTTTTGGCTCCTGCGTCCCGCCGTAGCCCAGGCCGTTGCCGTGGCGACGGGCCCAGCGGCCTAACCCTGCTGGAGTCGCCGGGAGCTGCCGTGCCGGCCTCAGCTGGAGGCCCCGTTACCCGCCTGGGCATGAGGCGGGGACGGGGCCTCTCAAAACCGCCTCTGCGGGGAGAAGGTGAGAAAAGGGCGGTAGTGGAGCCGCGGGAGGGTTCTGTCTGGTCCGGGGCCCCCCTTGCCCGTCCCGGTGCTTGCCCGTACGTCCCCGGGTGGTGTCGGTGTCCCGGCGGGACTGGTCGCATGTTCCCTCTCGCTGCCCAGCACTCAGTTGGTCCGGTGCCTGAATATCTGAAGGGGTGAAGCAGATAACTCCCAGCTGAATTCTAGTTAACTAGTTAAAAAGTATAGTTAACAACCAGCGTCAAGTCAGTGACCCCTCCTTAGTCTCTGGTGACCGAGTAAACCCTAACGGTGACTTCAGACCCTGCTATTTGTGTTCAGAGTTTTCTGTAGCTGGGTAGAAAGTAGTGCAGGGTGTACCCATGGCATCTCGGGGAAGGGGAGATGCTGTATTCTTGAGTTTTTTCACATATAGCTTTGCTTATCATCAGTATCAGTGAATAGTCAGTGCCTCAGCTACAAGATAAGCTGTCACATTGTAAGGGAAAGGCAAGAGGAACTTTGCTTTGTCCCATTTCAGCAGCATTACACACAGCTTTGCTTCCTTCTTGAGAGGCTGTTGCCAGACGCTGCTGTGGGATGGCTGCAGCCTCAGGGAGAGTTCAGCCAGGAGGTAGCTTACACTCGCTTTAGTCGCAGTTCACCACGTAAAGAAACTCTGTTGAGATGTACCAAAGCTTTTGATAGAATGTTTAAACCATCTGGTGTTATAAAACAGCAAAGTCTTGCAGCAAAACAAGGATTTCAATGTCTGAGTGGGCCTGGCTCCCTGAACCAGGCTTTTTTTAGGAGAAAGGAAAAACCTGGGGGTGTCTTCAAATAATCTTGGTGGGTTTTGTAATGAATAGCTCAAAGTGATGTGCAGGCAAGTTTTCAACAACCTAATGAGAAGAATATCACATTGTTAGTAACTGTCTCTCATTATTGATGAGCCAGTTGCCACGTAGCAGTTTGAATTGTGCGAGTACTGTTAATTTCTTCAGAGACTGAAGTTAGAATTTTAGGACTTTTCTTTTTCCATCCTGCCTGTTTGTAAGATTGTGCTGATGAGCATAAATCATGTTCTGTTGTATCCTGACCCACTACTTCTCTACCAGTTGACCCCAAAACACATTTCCGGCCTCTTGCCTGGGACTGGTGCAGAACTGTTGGTGCCTGAACAATCTGA